GTCTTCACATGCTGCTGGTCATGGCGGCAGCTGGCAGTGTCTCTCTGCCTCAGCCTTCCGCTTCCCAGAATTCTCCTCTCTCCTTGTCCCACCTACTTCCTGCCTAGCCACTGGCCAATCAGTATTTTATTTAATGACCAATCAGAGCATTTTGACATACAGACCATCCCACAGCACTTTCTCTCTGCCCTTTACCTGCCAACCATTTCTTGACTTTCAGATTGAGATTATACATAAGCACCTTCTAGAAATCACTCCCAAATCCTGGCCTGAGTTATCTGTTGGAAAGGTAACATTCATCCTAACTGCCCATGTACTTACATCTAGACTGGACCCATCTCATTCTTCTTGTGTGTGTGTGTGTACACATGTTCACATATATGGTACACATGTGTGCAGATGCTCATGCATGTGTATGCATATAGAGGCCAGAGGTTGACATTAGGTACCTTTCTTGATCTCCACCTTATATACTGAACTAGGGTCTCTCACTTGAATCCACTTGCCGACTTGTCTAGTTTAGCTACCTAGCTAGCCTGCTTCCCCCTCCACCTCTTGCATGCTAGGATAACAGGTGGGCAGCCATGCCTGCCCAGCATTTCTGTGGTGCTGGAGATCTGCACTGAGGTCCACAAGCTTGCACAAGTGTTGTTACCAGCTCAGCTGTCTCCCCCCCTGGCCATTTCACTGTCTGTCCTTCTCCTGTCTCCTGAGTTCTGTACATCTAGTTAAACAGACACTGGGACTAGGAGTGCTGCCTCTATTGTCAGTTACTGGCACCCGCTCCACTAAGAAAACTTAACTCGGAACCCTTTTCCCCGCTTGTTCTACAATCAGCCAGCTGTGAGCCAGAGAAGCCCTGGCTCTCCACTCCCTATACCTGGCCCATCTCCTGCCCAAACTGAACCATGCAGGCTGCATGGCTGGGCGGGAACAGTGGTGGAGGCTGTCAGATTCGTGCCTTGGGCAGTGAGTTCCGAGGGGCTTCTGAAAGGGAGGAGAGGTGGCAGCGGGGTTGGGTTGGCTTTGTCCATCTCCATGATCCTCTTCCTCCAGACAGCCACACTAACCTCAGGCGAAGAGAAGCCGGACAGAGACTCAGAGAACAGCAGTGATGATGACGACCGTGAGCCCACGCCTCCAAAGATGTGAGACTTGATTCTGAAGTGAGGGCATGTGGGAGGAGATGCCTTGGGCTCTTCAGAGAATGAACAAGGAAATCTAATGCCTGACTGGGCTCTTCAGAGGGGGTTGTAGAATTAATTAGATTCTTAGAACTTCAGACAGTGCCAGGTTGTGAACAAGAAATAGTGAAGATGTACATTTTTTAGACAGAAAAAACAATCAAGCCTTTTCATCACCTTGTGACTTGTCATCTGCCCTTACAGTCTGACCGATGAGATGCTACTCAAAGCTTGTGAGGGGCGAACTGCACACAAGTAAGTTGTGGTGGCTTTCTGGGTCTCCCATCTTCTCTGCCTGTGCGTTAGAACACCGGTGCCACCTCCCACTTGTTTTCAATATTCCAGGGGAATAACCCTGTTGGTGACACATTTGGGTTGAAGCCAGGCAGCTCCCCTCCCTCTGTTCCCAACTTGCTATGAAATACCCGTACTGATTTGACCCATCTCTTAGGGCTGCTCGGGCTGGAATCACAATGAAGGCTAAGCTTGCTCGCCTGGAGGCCCAAGAGCAGGCCTTCCTGGCTCGGCTCAAAGGCGCAAAGGATGTGGGAACCCCTCAACCACAGACTGACAGGGAGCCCTCCAAAAACAAGGAAAAGAAGAGGAAGCAGAAGGAGGAGGAAGAGGCTGCAACAACTGAAAAGAATGTAGCTGAGGAGCTTCTAGAACACACTGACCAGAGCGTTAGGAAAAGCAAGAAGAAGAAAAGGAGGCGGAAAGATGAGAGAGAGGGAAAGGCTGGAGGAAGTGGGGAGGAAGAGGCTGAAGGAGCAAGTGGGCCTGCAGAACTGAGCACAGAGCAATCGGATCAGTCTCCCAGGAAAAGGAAGAAAAAGAGGAGGCAGCACCCGGAAGAGGGGAAGATGGAAGTCTGTGATAAAGGAGGCCGAGATGTGCGAGGCAGGCCAAAGGCAGCGGACAGTGGAGCAGGCACACACCCATGGAGAAGCAGCAAGAAGCCATGGCAGTGTGGGGAGGACTTGGACACCCAAGACGAAGAAGGGAAGGATGGCCTAACAGGAGGAGAGAGAAAGGTCAGACGAGGCAAGAAGAAAAGACAGCGGTGTCGTGAGGAGGTGGTCTTGGATGTAAGCAGTAAGGATGATGATGGCAGGACTTGGGAGGTTGAGGATGAAGTCGAGAGAAGCCAGCCACACCCAAAGGAGAGAGCCAAAAAGAAGAAGCGGAAGAGGGACTGAAGGCCTGCAGTGTAGCTCTGCTGACTCCTTTTCAGGGTTGGCCTGGGTTTGGGCAGGGTTTCTCCATCCCCTCTGCAAGTGGCTCAGGAGCACCGGTCTGCTGAGGAGAGCAAAGCATTCAGTGCTGGCTGAGGGGGTGGACGTCCCCTGTACAACTGCCTGTCCAAAAAATATAAACCCTGCTGTGCCTAGCAGAGGAGTGTTCATTTGAAGAAGTGTCTGCTAAGTCTGAAAGTGTAGACTTATGTGAAAAGACTTTTTTTTTTTTTTTGAGACAGGATTTCTCTAATATAGCTCTAAGTTATACAGAGATCCACCTGCCTGTACCTCAAGAGTGCTGGAATAAAAGGCCTGTATTACCATACCCTGCATAATGTCTTCATTTTAAAATACTGTGAAGATCGAGAAAAACATACATTTAGATGTGTGGTCTGGGTTAGCCAGACTGCCTGTTTCTAATCATGATTAGATGAGAGCTTGGGCTATAGGTCATTCCCAGTTGACAATATTTCTAGCTTGAGAAGGTCTAAACACAACTTAGCCTTTGAAGACTTTTGAAGAAGTTCTTTCTGTTAGCCCTTTGAGGTCTTGCTACAATGCTAAGCTGAGTTTGTTTGGAGGTACCATCTACCTCTCTGTGTCTCTATCACAAATAAGGAAGCATCATTCCTGGGTAAAGGCTATCACACCTGATGTAGCGATGGAGTTATTTCCTATTGCTTACAAATGCCTGGTCTGTTTCCCCACTGATAATTAAGGCCAGAAAATTCCAGTTTGCAGAGAGAAGGTACCAAGTCTTTATTAGAAACCTGCCTGCCCACCTCCCTTACTGTAGACGGTAGACACACTCTGTGTCAGGGTAGGCTGGCAGATTCAGCTGGTACTTCTTTTCTAGAGCAGGTGGTACAAAACGACCCCCCAGGTAATGATATCGTCCAGTAAACTGGGCTGCAGACTTCTTGGGTGCTGTCAGTGAGATGAGTAAGTCTGGTTGGATTCCTCCCGGGTTTCCCTTCTCTACATCCCATCCTGAAGAGAGAAAGTAGTGTGAGGAAGTACAGAAGGCCTAGTCCTAGAGAAGGGGGAAACTCCCAGTCCCAGTACTATCAGGCTCGGGTTTTCCCACAGGGCCAACATGAACCTCGATCCCCGGCCCTAGTGTGGGACATGGAAAGGTCCATTCAGATTATGTTAGACCTGGTCTATACTGTGGATCAAGAATCCAGTCCCGCCGGGCGGTGGTGGCGCACGCCTTTAATCCCAGCACTCGGGAGGCAGAGCCAGGCGGATCTCTGTGAGTTCGAGGCCAGCCTGGGCTACCAAGTGAGTTCCAGGAAAGGCGCAAAGCTACACAGAGAAACCCTGTCTCGAAAAACCAAAAAAAAAAAGAATCCAGTCCCCTGGGTTCCAGTCCCCCGACCATCTGGGTCCCGGCACCTGAGGGAATGTCGATGCTAGCAATGGGCACGGTAAGTCCACTCAGGACGCTCAGAATGCTGTGGAATGGCTCCCGAACATCACCCTTGAAGCTGAAGCCAAAGATGGCATCCACCACCAGCTCATACAGCTCATCAACCATCATGGGCTGTGGGAGGGGCAGGAAGAATGTCAGGAGCTGCTGTTACCTAGGGAGAGCTGTCCCTGCACCCACAGACCACAGGGGCATGGATATAACTGCTTCCTAAGGTAAAGAGTAAGGTCATTCCTGTTCTGAGTGCCTGCCTGCCCACCTTCCTGCCGCTGGGGAGAAAGGGACTGACATGGTAGAGGAGCCTGAGACTGGAAGCCAGAAGGGACCCATTCTGTCTTAGCTTTGCCTTGCTCCAATTCTGTGATTCAGGGCAAACCATCTCTCTGCAGGTCGGTATCTTCATCTACAGAATAAGTTAATTCTCTTTTTAAATTTCAGATTTCCCACCCCCAAATCCGTGCAGCTACAGAAAAGGGTTGGGGGGGTCTCACTGAGGACCAGATGAGTGTTAAATGCATGCTAGGGGAGACAGCTGTCTGCAGAATAGGGGTACCTAGAGCTGCTAGTGTTGGGAAGCCGTGAAGCACTCAATATGGAGGCGCTCCTGTACCACTGCTACTCAGAGAGCAACTTTTATGGCAGGCAGACACTAGGCAGGCTAGCTTGGTCCGAAAACATGAGGGGAAGGTCAGAGGCAGTACTTACTGGGGAGATGAAGGATCAAGCCACCTACCTCTGGGGGCATTTCACTAAGGAAAGGAATGTCCATTTTCTGACACTGAGTCACTAGCCCAGTGAAGAGTGGTTTGTTAGGTCTTTTGGGGTAATAGATAGTTGGCTGGTAACCCTAATTGAAAAGGAAAGCAGCCATTCAGTTTCTGATCCCAAACGCCCCGTACCTTTCCCACGAAGACTCCGCTCATATACTCACAAAAAGTTTGAGGTGTCGCGCGCAGACCAGGCCGTCCCCTCCGTTATTGCCGGGGCCACAGATGACCAAGACGGTGGGGGGGCTCCTGGACATGGACGTGGGGGGATAAGCCTGCAGGCAGAGGCGCAGAGGGTCCGGCCGTCACCGCCGTCGGCTCCACCGCGGGCGGCCCTCCCCGCCCGCTCCCCACGAAGGCTCTGCACTGGGTCCGCCTACCTTGGCGATGGCCGTGGCGCAGCTCAGCCCGGCCAGCTCCATGAGTTGATCCACGCTGAACTGGTACTCGTTAAAGAGCTCCTCGTCCACGGCCCGCGCCTCCTCCTGGCTGAGGGAAGTCCCGGCCTGAGTCCGCCGCCG